TGATGAAACTGGGACAGTTTAACAAATTCCAAGAAATAAATGACGTTCTGCTTAAACAAACAATAACTGATTGAGAAAAAGCACATCTTTATTATATGCGTGGCATCGTTAAAAATGGTCAAGATGAATATAAAGATGCCACTGACTATTATCAACGTTCCCTTGAAATCAAACGGAAGATTCTTTCACCGGTGGATGTTGAGGTGGCTGCTTCTTACAACAACATTAGTGCAGTGTATGAAAAGATAGATGACTCTCCCGATGCCCTTTAATATCATCAAAAAGCTCTTCCTTCAAATCATCCTGATTAGCTCAATCTCACGAGAGCATTGATCTGGTGTATTCCGATATAGGTGACTATTCGAACACACTTTTATCTGACCCGAAAGTACTGGAAATTTAGTTCGGTGCATAACAAGATGGGTGACTATTCGAAAGCACTTGCGTTTTATGAACGTGTTGCTGAAATAGCCGTGTTCATTACCTGCAAATCATTCAAATATTCAATTATATAGAAATAACTTCGAATATGTGAAAAAGAAAATATAACCTTTTTTGTTTCGGTCAAAGAAAATGCACGTGGTTTGAAAGCAATTTTCTCGTATTGACAATAGCATGAAACTGTACCCACTGGCAAGGCAATCAATGCATGTCCACCTGATGGACATGCATCGTAAATAAAATATCTTTATGGTATAGTATGTATTTCAATAAGAAGAGTTTTCCTGTATCGAATATATAGTGATACGACAGGATGAACTTTAATTCGTGCAAAGAATGGTTCTTTCAGTTTCAATGTAAGAATAATTTATTTCATGAAGAATAGAAAGAATACTCATCGATTAAACGATTTGTTTCTATATATAGTGAAATTACTGTTACATTTGGAGTAGAAAGAGAAATTCCACTGTACATAGAAATAATTTATTCAATTAATGAGAGAATAATGACGATTAAATATATATTCAAAACAGTGATTTTATGTACAATTAGAAAAGACACTTTTTGTGAAAGAGAAATTCATAACTGATTGGATTGTTTTTTCATATTTACACCAATACTCTTATCGATTAATTATTTAGCACGAAAACAAAATTTCAGAATTAAGGAATGAAAAAGAAAAATGTTAGCCCACTAGTGTCACTGGCATGCAATGAATATTGATCAGACGCACCATGCAACTATGATCATTTTACAAGATTTCTAATTATTGGTTGTGTACCTTTCGTCTGATGAGTATTTGTTTGAGAAGTGAAATAAGACACGTTCACATTCAAAAATTGGTCTATCAATTCATACAATAATGAACATCATTGAGAAAACTGTGAAAGAATAAGCATACTAATTCTTTCTTTTTCAATGAGCGAAATACCTAGAACTTCAAAATTCTATTTCGATTTTTTCTTTTGCTTTTAAAATTTTTTATTTGATTTCCTTATTGTTGATTATTTAATTATTCAGTTGGATTTTTCAGTTTTGCATCAATAATCATTGAACATTGGATAATAACAACTTTGATTCGTAAACAAATCGAAGTATGCTGCATAGACTTTGTCTCATGAAAGGCTCTATAGATTAGATTAAAATACTTATATTGATCTCTGAGTTGCAGGTTTCTAAAAAGAAAATTATATAATTTGTATGCGTGATGAGTATCTATGAGACTATTTTCAAATGAAAATTCTTCAACAATGAGCAATATATGAATTTGTTTTTTTCTTGACTACACTGTTTTTGAAAATAATGAAAACAGAAGTATATAAAATATGAAATTAGTAAAAGCAAATATTGTTTTCAATTAATTAATCAATAGTCGTATCTAAGATTTAATAAATTTCGATCGTTATTTGTTTATCATCAGTTGGTATAAGAATAATAAATCTAAAACTGATCATTTTTCAGTGCCTGACAAGCAGAATTAAAAAAAAGACCGATTTCATCTAGTTCATTCCATCAAAATGATATATTTCATAGAAGAATTGTTATTTTTATTGTGTGCAATCACTTATTTTTTTTTAAAGATTTATTTGAAAACGAAAGAATAACTTGAATACAAAAAAGAAATCGAACTGAAGAACATTCAATAGTGGTAATGTATAGAAATTTATGATGATTTTCATGAATCAATCTGATGAAATAATAATAATGAGATTCTAATACAAGTTAAATTATATTCTAGATTAAAACTAGTATAATAATAAGAGAATGAGTGTTTGCTTTTCTTGTCTCAATAAGATAAATTGGCTACAAATCAATTGATTATAAATATTTCACAACAACTTTTTTGTCAATCCGTAAAATATTATAGCAACTTAGTTTGTTTCAGCAAAATCAATTGAATTCATAGTCGATTTCAGTTCACTACAAGTTGCTCCTAATTAATCTTTATTTGTTCGAATATCATCAAAAGGTCTATTCATTGTTGAATGTTAGTCTTCTCTTCGTCTGCACAGATACTCTTTATATTTGACAAAAATGAAATTCTTTCATACAATTTTTTTTCAACAGTTATACGAAAAGTAGAATGAAAAAAAATTTCCATCAGTCGAATTTTTATTAAATTCTATTGTCTATGTTTGATCAATATTAGAATCTCTTTAGTTTTTTTTTTATTTCATAAAGAAAGAAAAATACATCGATCTGACAATCATATCAACAAGTTAGCACCAATAATAACATTTTATCTATCTGACAAGCAAAAATATATATATATGTATATGTATTTGTTTCCATTTCAAGTATTAAAGTAAAATTGAGCAAATAGACTACTAATGCATACTTCAGCATAACCACTTTTTTGTACAATACGATCAATATGTACTTGTAATTCATTCATTGTTTTATAAAGTGGACGAGTTAAATCAACAGATAAACTTTTTAAATAAGTATCAATTTGTTCTAGAAATTATATTTTTAATTAAATATTAATAATTAATCATAAAATTATTCTTACCTAATTTAGTTCGATTTAATGAATTTTTATAAGTATCAAGATTAAAAAGTTGTTTAAGAAATCGAAGTTGTAAATTTAATTGACGATCATCATACTTAACAAATAAAAATATTTAATCAAAACAAAAAACAAATTGAAAAATTGTTTTATATACTTCTGTTATTAATTCACTTTTACCACATGATGTACATGTATGTCTTTTATGTAATATTCCTAATGGTGTTTGACGTGTTCGAAATGCACAACATGTATCATCATCACAGCGAAGCCAATTCTATGTTGAAATATTTAAAAACTAAATAAAATAATATTTAAGAAAAATAAATTTATACTTGATAATAACGTCGAATAGCTTTATTAATCATTAAAGTAAGACGATTTCGTAAATAAGATACGTGATCAATTGGTTGACTTGAACAATTCACATTCGTACAACGAAGAAATGGTGAGACACATGTTTTATCCTAAAAATATAATTAATCAATTCGAGTACAACTTTTTCATTCATTTTGTGCATGATGAAACGGACAGAAACTCTCGTCTACAGTCTACGTATTTAAATCGTTTTCTATTTATTATTATCTCTTATAAGATAAATTCACATTGGAGTTACATCAAGAAGGAACCACTACTTCATAAATTCATAAAAGTGATCTATGGATATCTTTCTTTTTGATGGAATTGACAAAACTCAAATATTACTCAATATCTTCATCAATTTCACCGAATGACACTTCTTAATTCTATCTACTATAATATAGTTCAATGACGATGAAATATTAATCCTTTATGTATTAATAATATTATTTTTCTTTGATTTATTAGAAACAAACTTTTATAATAGAAGTCTATAGGAGCCACTGCACGAGAAGGACAACCGATTTTCCAATATAGGTGCTCAATCGATAATCGCAGATCGAGATGGGAGTTAGCCTATCTTGTAGAGAACATTTTTTTAGGCATAAATCCAAATTTTTAGTCCTAAAGCTTGAATTTTGGCTGAGATACGAGATACCGACTTAAAAGCCCCAAAATGCCTTTTTATTAATTTTTGAT